TTAAAGTTTATTTGAATTGTCATATTATTAAGGATAATTCCAGAAGAGCTAAGTATAATTTTTATATGATATTAGAAAGCCAAATGGTAGTTACTTCAACTAGTTGAATTGTATGTAACATTTACTCTTTCAATAGATATTTATTAGTTATTTATTAACTGGTGCTTACTAAATGGAATTTAAATAAAATATAAAGAAGTATGATGACAGGCTTCTTTTATTGTGCATGGTGATGACAACTTTTGTGATGGGAAGCTAGTACTAAATTTGGTGGGAGAATAAGAATAATATTGAATACCATTAAAAATGGGTTTGTGTTTTATTCTGTAGACAATTGAAGTTACAGGGATTTCATGTCTATAGGGACAAAATAAAGGCAAAGTGTTGCATATATAAATTTTAGGGAGATTAATTAGAAAGGGGAGAAGCCTCACCCAAGGGAAGTAAATAGCTTAAGTTATAAAGTCGACAGAATGTCCAGAAAAAATTTGAAATGCTGACACTTTTTAAATAATGTAATGTAGTATAATAAAATTCATAAGGAATAAAGTAAGAGAAAGAAATTGACAGAACTAGAAAAACCGGGTGGCAAATTCTGTTTTGAAGAGGAAAATAAGTTTTAGGTATTTTTACTAAATGTTTGACATGACGCTTATTGAATTTTTCATCAATTCTATGTCTACCATCTCTACCACCAGCACAATCATGTTCACCTCTAACTTCACCATCATCAATCACTTCCACCTCTCCTAACTCCATCCAGCATTTACTCCATCACCATCTCTCCATCTTTACCTACTTCACCATAACCAAACAATCAGCATAATGCCCATTGCATTTATTGAATATTTATTACTTTATAAGCACCATATTCAGTGTTTCTTACTTACTCCTGATAGTGTTTTATAAAGTAAAAATATTGAATCTGAGGCACAGGTCTTATGTAATTTGCTTGAGATCATAAGTTACTAAAAAAATAGGCATATTTCAAACCTGAGTAATTCTTATTCCAAAGGTCATGATTTCTCAATATTAGTTGCTCATTTAGACACACAGGCAATGAATTATAATAATTAAACTTTGTGTGCAATGTATACATAGATATGGTTCATTGGCAGCAATAAAAATGAAAATCAAGACAATGGCTGGATAGCAGAAGTAGAAATAGCCAGATCACAGCTTTAGAAGTACAAAGCTAAAATTTGAGGCAGAGATTCAAATATGGAGCTACACAATTGGAGAGTCATTCACTTAGAGTCAGACTTGAATCAATTAGAATAGACAATTAAGATAAAAAAGTCAAAGGACAAAGATAAATTTTTGAGCTATTCCCATAGTGAACAGGCAGAGAAGAAAACAAGTAATATATGTAAGGGACATGTATTGTAAAAGTTGAAAAAGAACACATTTTTAAAAAGAAAATAATTCAGTAGATTGTCACAATTACAGTACTCAGAGTAAAATGTTAGTGGTTCTCACCTGGGATGAGAGAGGGACATGAGGTATAATAGAGTTTTCAGTCATGTTTACATGATGCCTCTTTAACCATTATCATAACCTATTCCATCCCGTAGATAATTATCAATTACTGAATTTAATTGTTTCTAAATGCTTCATCTTTAACTCTTTTGTTCAGTTTCAATTCATTAATATAGAGTGTCTATATAATTATGCTGTTCAAAACAGTACAAATTTAAGAGTGAAAGTTAGTGTTAAATATAATTATGCTGGGATAGGCATAATTAGATAGTTTCAGGCAAACTAAGACATAATATCACCTTAGTCATATCCCTACTAAAGAGACATTTTCCTACACATTCCTGTACAGAGCCAGGCCACCACAGTTGAAATCTTAGATTAGTCCCTCTGCAGTTATAGATAATAGTAATAATAGTCACATCTATCACAGAAGAATATTAGGACAAATAGTATTCAGATAAAGCACTGAATCTAGTGCTGAGCACATAATAAAATCCTCAATAAGTGTTATGTTTTATTTTTATCTTTGAAGACTAAGGTTAACATGGGTCAACTTGCCTTGTCAGTTTCTGTATAAAGCAATTTCTGAAGATATTGAGATTAGTAAATTAAGTTTTACTTCGCTTAAAGAACTGATGGAAAGTTGTTTGATTGTTGCAAAGTATCCATAAATCCATGTATCCACTAAGCATTGTCTATACACACATATTTAATGTGATACTAAACAAATTAATATACATGGTATTAGGAATAATAAAAAGTAAATTTTGTTTGGACCATTATGATTTGTCCTCCACCAGTCCATGTTAAAATTTCAATCACAATCATGAATAGAATATATGGAATTTACTTGCCTAAAACAAAATGCACTAAGATATTCAGAGTGTGAGAACCATTTCATTAGAACAAGAATCAACAAACATTTTTGGTGACAGTTCAGACAGTAAATACTTTGAGTTTTGTGGGCCATAAAGTTCGTTACATTTTTCAAACATCACCATTCTAATGTGAAAGCAGTAATAGATGATACATGTTTGAATAAGTATTGCTGTGTTCCACTAAATCATTGCTTACAGACACTGAAATTTGAACTTCCCATAATTATCAAGTTATGAAGTATGATTTTTTTATTATTTTCAACATTTAAAAATGTGAAATCAATTCAAAGGTTATGAGCCATACAAAAACGGGCAACAGGCTGGATTTAGCCTATAGGCCTTAATTTGCTAAGCGTTGGACTAGATGATTTGCTCAGCCATATGGACACGACCAGGAATAAAAAGGCCTAATGGAATTTTCAAAGCAAGTCATAAGTAATGAATTAATGTAGAAGCCCCAAAATAATGTATTC